CTTTGTTGTGTGTGTGTGTTTAGACCTAGCAGGTGAGCCTCTACCTTGGATAGAACCTAAGAGACCATTGGTATTCGAATGTCAAACAGTCACAGAGTGAGACCTTGAACCCCAACCAGCAGAGGTTCAAAGACGGAAAACATCCAACTTTCCCAGTTGCACTGACCGAGCCGCACCCGGGCTTGGGCCGCGTCCAACATCAACAGGACGTGCGGAGCAGCCCAGAAGCCCTCGGCCCGTCATCCAGCGTCTGCATCGGACGGGGTGCTGACATGTCAAGCCCACATACCTTGAACAGCAGTTTGCTTGTCCTCCAGCCAGTGGGGGGTGGACAGGAGAGTGACGGGTCCCTCGTTTTCCCAAACGTCTCATTTGTGTCTACAACGTTTTAAAGTCAGACTTTCATGAAAGGAGAACACGGGAGAAATGAGAAAGGAATTGAAAAGCCTCCCAAATTAAGTACCCTGGACATCCTTTGCTAATGTGATTCTAGCCAATGGGATTCTTATTTAATCCTTCATCCTCATTCAGCTTATAGGATAAGGGTGTCAGCTGGGAGGTACTGTCAAGTGGGAAACGTCTGGGATGGGTGGGGTTGGAAAGTAGAAATCCCACAGTACATGTGGGTCAAAGTTAAGCACAATGAACGGGGTTGCTCTAAACGTGGGAGGCCTTTCTCTTCCTCTTTATGGGTCTGTTCTTGCTTCATTCATTCAGATCTTTCTGAGCGTTCACTGTTTGTCAGGCCGCAGGACCCGGCGAAAGAGCACTGAAGAGACAGTCAAGGTCTTTCGCTCTAACAGTGGGGGAAAGCAACGCCCAAAGCAACATGCAAGTAAATAAGCCACTGTGAGAAATAATTCCGTGTTGTGCAGACAGCAGAGGGCGTGGTTTACGGGGCACGGCTGGGGGCCGCTCTGGACTGGGGGCCCCGGGGGACGCGGCAAGTGGGAAGACCAGCCGCCCTCAGCAGCGGGCAGGACATGCCGGGGAGCGAACAGTCCAGGCAAGGGAACCCCTGTGCCCCTCTTAGTGTCCAGGAGCGCGGAGGGGACCACAGGGAGGTCCCAGAGACAGCAAGCCTGGCCCAGCTGAGCCCCTGATGCGAGAGCGGTGCGGGCTGCCCCCTCCTCTCCTGCCTCTCTCCAGCACCCTCCCCCTTCTCCTCCTACTCTCACAGGGCTCACGGCCGCTCATCATCATGCACATGTCAGGGCAGAACTGCACGAGGTGACACGTAAAACCCGACACCTAAGCAGCAGTGAGTTTACAGGACCTGCCCCTGTCCTCGAGACAAGCATTGCTGGAATAACCAGCTCTCTCAGGGTGGGTGCAAGAGAAAGTTGGAAGAGAGACGCAAAGGTCTGAGATGTGGCCGCTTTGAGAAGCCTGATTCAGCCTGCAGTCATTGCACCATTTTCAGGTGGGAACTCCTGACACCATGTTTTCTTTAGCGGCCGAGGGAGGAGAGAGCAGGGAGGACAGGAACAAAGGGAGATGCACCCACACCTCGCTGGGCTGGTGATGGAGCAGGTGACCACGCTGTGAGCGCTTCAGGATCATTCTCCCATCCAAGGACCTGGGCTTTGAGGGCCGGGGCATGTGCCTGGGACCGTTTCAGCCGCTGAGCTGTCCTGGGTCCAGTGCAGGAACTTACCCACGGCCTCCCCTCTAGCCAGCCCCTCCTGGGTGCCTCATCTTGCTTCTTCCACGAGACGGACGACGAATATCAAAGAAGAAAGGAATGGGGTTTGAAAACAGCATATGAGTCTTTCCATACTGCTTGGCCTAACTGAAGAGATGAGCTTAGTGGGAGAACAGGACCTGTAAAGCACCTGCTCAATCTGGCTCTAAAGTTTCCCTCCAGGGTTTAATCCTGGAGACCCTGCATACCCATGTCCTCCAGGCACTATGTTTTGGCAAGAAAAAAAGATCCTTGGGACTTGATTTCCTATTAACAAACAGAGTCGTGTATTTACGTTGAATCTTCGGGCACCATTTGTAGAGAGTGGGCAGCAACAGACTTACTTGGTGTGCCCTGAACAAGGACAATAATATAAAAAATAGTTCACAAAAGCTAGGCGTATGTTCCTTCCTTCCTCTTTTTCTCTGATAAGAGCTATGATTTCAGCAGCACGTGGCTTCTTTTCTTTGCACTGCGTTGGACGGTGCTGAGTGTCCGACACCGAGTCACACAAACAACTCTCACAGGTGAATTCCTTCCTGGGTGGAGTCTAAGTGCTCCTCTGGCCCAAGGTGCGTTGTGTCTGGCACCTGGAACTCACTGAATGGCCCACATCCAATCATGTTTAACTCACACCCGAGGGGTGGTGTCTGAGCCAAAGACACTGAGAGATGCAGAAACGGGTGTGGACGTGGATCCCACGACCATGGGCCAGGAGCACAGATGCAGCTGGAGGCTGGAAGGGCGGCAAGACCCCTAGTGAGGATTTCTGCTGGAGGACCTTGCTGCAGAAGGGAATTCAGGACGTTCTACCGTTTTGTTTCAGTCTCATTTTTTTCCCTTTCCGTAAGAAATAGTGAGCTATTTGAGAGAAAAGAATGCAAAGAGATTTTCCTTCTGACCATGATAATTTTTCAGGAATCTGACAAATCAAACACCCTTTTCAGGTTCATTTATTAAGAGGACATATTTAAACTCCTATTATTTGTCCCCTCCTAATTGTTTCCTATTTGCCTACAAATGATTCAGATGAATGAAATGCCATAAAACTCCCCCAAATATAAGCCTCTCCTTTTCTCATGAAGAGTAGTAAAATCATGGGCCGATGAAAAAAGATTCAAGTGCACCAGTTTTCCCACTGCCAACCACAAGACTCAAAATTTCATTCTTTCCCAATGTATGAAGGGAAGTAGACATGAACAGGAATTTTACTTTGCAGTGACATTAATCATCAATTCCTTGGATGTCATTCTACGTGATTTGCAGATGTCATTCGATGGCATTCCTACCAATGGATACAACTCCTGAAACAATGAGCAAACATTTTCTGAAAAGACCATGATAACAGAGAAAGGGTGGAAGACCTCGTACCAAACCATGACGCTGGTTACCTCAAGTACTTCTGTTTTGTTTGAATTGTCACCTCGAGCACGCACTTACTTTGTAATTAAAACAAAATCCAAAAAAGGATTGCAATTCATAAGAAAATTTTAAAATTGATATATATATTTGAAAGTGTCAATCACATATTATTTCCTACCTAGTAACTGGCAGGTAATTATACAATATGAAAATCATGAAGTGATGCTCTAAGAACATATTTAAACACATAAAGATTTGAAAAAAAGGAAAGCAGCAGGAAAATCTGCTACTAGCAATGTTATTTCTAAGCTACCAGGTTTCCCTAAATTTCGACATGAAGGGAATTTCAACACTGAAACTACCAGGTTTCCCTAAATTTCGACATGAAGGGAATTTAAACACTGAAATCCATTTTCCCTGGATTTTACTTTGTACTGAAAACCTGACTAAGAAGCAGATCATGACGCCACTCTTCAAACCTGTAGCTCCACAGCCTCTTAATAACCACCCAAGTGTTCTGTCTGCCTTTTACAGACAGCGCCCCACCCTCCCAGAGACACTGACCGCACCTAAGGTCCAGCTCAAAGCTGAAGAGTTGTTCAAACTCCTGAGATAAGGAGGGCTGCAAAGGCATGTTAACAGCCCCTCCCGTTTGCTCTCCTGTGAGTTATACTCACTTTCTGAGCTATTAGGGCAGACACACTTCACTGAGAGCCCGGCCGGGGCCCAGTCAGTGGACACCCCGCCCGTTCTCCCTCAGGAAGGCAGGTCCCTTATTTCATTAAAAGCACTGCAAATACATATTCAAGATGCAAAGATAAAGGTAGTCAGCAGAGGCAGTTCATTCAGTGGGTTGGAGCTACAAGAGTATAAATCTCTCTTAAGGCTGCCACTTCTGAGCTCCTGCGACCTGCCCGGCATCTCAGCCCGCCTGGAGTCTAGGTATGGAACGTTCGCTACCGTACACAAACCTAGCAGCCCTGCTGCCTACACGATGCGGGGTAGTAAAAGAGAGGTTTCTGAAACTGCGACACAAGACTGTCACGGAGTTTACTTTTATAAAACTGCCCGCCCATTTGTTAACTTAAGCCATCTGTCTGGATGATTTGTTACTTGATTAGTCTAATAATGCTCATAAAATCGCCTAACAATAAAGTGATGTACGGATATAAGATATTATTCTAATTTGAATACCTTACCTATTCTCACCAATGAGCTGATGGAACGGAGAATAAAGCAGGCTGTTCAGTACCAGGGAAGCAAAGAGTAACTCCTACCCTGAAGCCATCCTTCCTGCCCCAAATCACAAAGCTCAGACATCACGGGGAAACGCAGGGCGCTTTCCCAGATCCTGGAGAATTCATTCTCAAGGAAATGTGGCCACGTAGACTATGTACACATTTGATGTGACTCTGACGTTTCCACCGACCTCCATCAGGGCAGTGATCCGAGGTCTGTTCTGTTAACTGATTCCTCCTCTCTGACACTGTGACAGCTCCGATCATCACCACCCTCCCCGGTGTGGTGCCAATGGAAACAGCACACGCAAGGTTTATCATCCTAACAAGATAATGGAAACCAAATACGAAGGTGGTATCCGCGGAAACATGCCTTCCGTGGGTCCCAAAGCCCAGTGGGTCGGGCTGGGAAGCGCGCTCTGCACTCATTCCTTCCCCAGGGTCCGCACCCGCAATCTCCATCCTCAGCTTTCAGGCTTCCCGTGCTTATCTGTATCGGATTTGCTTACCGATTCTTAAATGTGAAACATTTGGAAATGCTTTTAACAGACAGCTCAGCGTAGTCCCTTCCCATCTCCTCTGGGGAGGGCTACACCCTTGCATACGTCGGAAGACTGCACCAGGCACAGATACTTTCACAGCTGAAACCAGTTACAGTTTTTAGCAAAAGGCAGATTTGACCAAGCTTCTCATTTACCTTCTTTACTTTGGGCTATCATTTATATTTTTGAAGGACCCCACTTGGTAGCAAGGTCACACCAGCCTGGGACAACGCGCCTGCAGGAGGGGCCCCTTGCCCCGTGGTGGAGCCGAGGCAAAACGGTTTCCCGGGCAACAGAGGCAATTCAGCGCAAGTACCACAGTGTGATCAAGCCGTACGGGAGTACTCACAGTTTCGGTTTGGCAAGCAGAGGGGGGGGCTCCTTTGTGGGTGACAGCAGGACGGCTGCGCTGGGAAGAGCTTTGCTGCCATCAGCTCTGCCGTTCATCACTCCATTCACTCCGTGGCCCGGGTGGACGCCGTTGGTTTCCCGCTCCGCGGCGGAATTGAACTGAAGGGCCGTCGGGCTCAGCCCGAACACGGGGCCGGTCACGTGCTGGATCTCAGCTGGTTTCTGTGAAGCCAACTCGAAAGAGCCGGTGTCCCAGATTGGAGGGGGCAGCGGGGAGGGCTGGAAGCGGCCACTGCTGGCCTCTCCGGCTGAGTCGTAGCTGCAGGTGTCCATGTTGGCTGAGGGAGGGGACAGGAGGAAGACACCATGACATGCTTAGGATCCACAGACCCTTCCCACCGTCACAGACAGCCTGGGAGCCCAGGGTCCTGTTAGCTGTTGATGGGGCAATGCCGAGGGGGGGCCTGGTTCCCCCAGGCTTGATTTCACTGCACCTGTTTCATTTCCTGAATGGCCCACCAGCTGGGAGACCAGCTACCAATTCATTAACAAATTTCAAACAAGAGCTAAAGATAGAACTTGGTTAAAACACACACACACAACACAAACAGCATCAAAAAAAACAAACGACAACACAAACAGTATCAACTAATGATGCTTTGTCTTCTTGCATTTCACCCCATGGATCCAACGGAACATCCTACCTGAGCTTTGCCGACATTAGTGTAGGCTACAAAGGTTTTCTGTGCTGGGCAACGGGTATTCACTCATTCACTCATTCATTCATCCATCATAAAGCCAAGTGAAGCTCTGAGTCTAAGGGAAATGTCTTACAATCTCACGGATAGTTTTTTCCGGTTCACATGACTGACACCAGCTGTAACTTGGTACAAAAGAAAGTTTTGCTTGTTACTGTCAATGGCCTGAACGCATCTTAAGAGTATCTTTGTATTCCTTGCCTTGCGCAGAGTCCAGCAGAGCTCCAAAAAATGCCTACTGAGGTGAACAGAAAGCTCAAAAATAGCTCTTATGTTTGGTCTAGAGCAGATTTATCCCCAAGGAAAATGGGAAATACTGCATGTTAATTTCTGCCACACGGACGAGGAGACCGGAGTTTTGGCCGCGTGGTTAGAGCACTGCACTCCTGCTGTGGCCATTTGCTGGGACCGTCTTCAACTCAAAATCAAAATACTGGGATCCTCCCTGGAGCTCTGATCATGACCCCGGAGTTTCCTGTTACCACTTAGAGCCCTCATTCCTATCCACTGGTGTCCCGTTAAGGTGAACTTTACGTTTCTTCTCTTAATGAAGATGAAAAAGCACTAATTCCCCACCACAGCCCTAAACTGCTTGTTTTTTCTGTGTCTCTGCCGCCCCCTAGCACGAGTTCTCCCTGTTCTAGAGAAATCTACGTGCCATTTGGCTGCGTCTTCACTGCCTCCTAACCATGGTGCCCCGTACTGGGCTTGGCCAAAGAGGTATTTTAAAAACCATTGTAAAATAAACAACAGAAATAAGGCCATAAAGACCAGGTAAAGCTAATTAATAATAGTAGAAAACAGTTAACCAAAGGTCAAAGAAATAAAGGAAAAGAACTGTTTCAGGTTGCTTTCCCTAGCAGTAAGTTTCTGAGTTTAAAAAACTGCCCAGATATTTCTGAATGTTGGTTTTAATAAAAAAATACATTCCTTTAGTTTTTCATAGGCGTCCAGTCTCAATGAAATCTGGTTTCTAAGATCTTTACAGCTTCTCTAGGTGTATCTAGTGGGTTAAACAGTGACTGATTTGCGCCAGTATCTCCAGACCCCGTGGACACCGGTGTGAGCATAGTTCTGGGCCAGCAGGAAGCCCTTGGGCAGCCATCGCATTGTTTCCAAGACCAAGATCCCAAGACTGAAGGAAGAGCCCCACGTGTGTTTCGCTGCTACACCATCATCACCTTTGTGTTTTCATCTCCGCTTCCCCTCCCCCTCTCCCACCCCGGCCTTTTGTTCCGGTGATGAAACCCTGGTTGTGAGGATGACCCCCGGGGCAAAGCATTCCTGGAGGCTGAGCAGTCCTCCGGGTGGGTCCTTTCTGTTCTGCCACGGGGACCCGTCAACCCTTCGCTCCTCGCATACCTGAGGTGACCACCAGCTGGGCAGTGCTGGTCGCTGACCCGTAATCATTGCTCGCCGAGCACGTGAAGATCCCAGCATCCTCGGGGAACGTCTCTGCTATAACGAGGGTGCAGATCTCCTCTGGAAGGAAGAGAACAGAGTAACTCATCAGAGGGTAACCATAAAGTTGGTCCAAAGAAGCCAGACCCTCTGCCTTTTTAAAACAAGCAAATTCAGTAACAATTATTATAGGGTCACTTTACGAAGTCGTCACAAGAGAATCTCTTGACATTTAATTAAGCTGTTGGCAAAAGCTTTGGAGTAGGACTCATTCTTTGTGATTTTTCATCAGCCTTGGTTTCCTCACCTATAAAACAGGGATAACATATACCTCACGAGTGTATCTGTGTAGAGGACACAAGAAGTTTGCAAAGTGTGTGCCTCTGTGCTAGGCACGTGGAAGATGCCAGCTCCTGCCTAGTTTGGTTGATGGTCATGGAAGGCCTTTCAACTACAATGTAGCTGCTCAACTGAAAAGCCACTGGTGGGGAAAATCAAGCTTCTCTGAAAAGCTGACAATGGGAAAAAAAGAACACAACATGGAAATGTTTGACTGCAGACAATTATTCTGGAAACTACTGTTACACAGTGCGGCCACGTTCTGTAGCATGCAAAGCCCGGACTCTGGGACCAGCTGCCGGGGCCTGAATGATGGTGCTGCCCCATGGGGCTTTTGTGACTTTGGTCCACCTCCCCGAACTTCAGAGCCCTTACCTAGAAGATGGAGATAATAATAGAACCTACCTTTTAGGATTTGTACGAATCATGACTCATAAATCAACCGTCACAGGGTTACCGTGAGGGGTGATGATGGTAACCATGACAACAGCTGACAGTTACATAAGCCCTTCTCAGGCACTAGGTAACACTACCAGCACTGAATATAGATGAATTTAGATTTAACCTTCATGTCAACCTTATGAGTTACATTTACTACGCTTAGCCTGTCTTACAGACAGGAAAGCTGAAGCACAGTAAGGCTAATTGATTTACCCAAAGTCACGCAGCTCATGAGTGGCAACTTGAACCAAGATGGGCTCCAGACTCCACGCTCCTCACGACCATCTATTCTTGTGACGTGATACACACTGTTCTTAGGGTGCTGCCTGATGCGTGCTAAATGCTTTGTCGTCAGGAACTGTTAGCTGTTCCATTAAGAAGAAGCTCGTTCTAGAGTGTATTAGCTATTTCTAATTAATTAATTAATGTACGTATGTACGTATGTATTATTATGGGAGTGCATTAACTATTTTTAAATTCAATGATTGTCTATATTGTACAAGTAACATAAGATGATTGTGTTGGTAAATGTTAAGAAAAGTCACTAGGGGCTTCCCTAGTGGCACAGTGGTTAAGAATCCGCCTGCCAATGCAGGGGACACGGGTTCAAGCCCTGGTCTGGGAAGATCCCACATGCCGCGGAGCAACTAGGCCTGTGAGCCACAACTACTGAGCCTGCGCGTCTGGAGCCTGTGCTCCGCAACAAGAGAGGCCACAGCAGTGAGAGGCCCGTGCACCGTGATGAAGAGTGGCCCCTGCTCGCCGCAACTAGAGAAAGCCCTTGCACAGAAACGAAGACCCAACACAGCCAAAAATAAATAAATTAAAATTAAAAAAAAAAAGTCATATACTTCTGATTCCCACAGAGCCTGTTGATTATTCACACATTATGTGGGCCACGTGAGACTCTGTACCATAGATTTTTTGCAGGAATGGCTGCAGTTATCCCCTCCTGCATCCAGGCCCTGCTGCAATGGGACTCTGCAGCCCCATCCCCTTCCCTAGCCCTGGCTGGCCTGACGGCTGTTTTAACCATGGAAGCGGTGGGAGTGATGTCTGTTCTGAGCCAAAGCCTCAGGTCCCCTCTGGTTCTGCTCCATCTCTAGGAGCCCGGCTGAACCCCTCAGGGATGGAGGCCATGGGGCTGGAGAAAGGGGCCCCTGAGCAGAGATGGGCCACCACAACTGAGACCACCCGGCTCATCCCTGCCAACCTGGAGGCCAGCCACAGCCCGTGGAGTGAGCCCACCTGGGTGGGCCAAGTCTGGTGCCCCACTGGGGGCTAAGCTGAGCGGCTGACCCTCAGGATTAGGGACACGGGTGGTCACCACCTGGAGCCACCGATGTCTGGGCGGCCATGCTTTCAAGAACCAGGATGCGGGCAACTTCTCTTCCAAGCTCCTTCTCTAACAGCCCTGAGGGCAAGCTTTTCAGAATTTAGAGGAATGCGCCTCCCCTGGAGTCAAACATCAGTAATGAAAATTAGCAAACTTGCCCTCAAACATATGTTATGTTTGAGACACTGGGAGGGCAAAGTGCTCACCGTGGGTAAAAGTCCTACCTTCTAATACAAACATTTTTAACTATTAAAATTACATGTCCATTTTTAAATACCAATAAAAGTAATAAACGCAAAGGTGAACCAATTGAACGATAAATAAAATGAAAGTGAGTCTTCCTTTATGTCCCAAGAGAGCTCGTGGGCATTGATTTCAATTACAAGATAGGCTGAGTTCTTAATAATGTGTTGCCTTGTTTCAAACAAACAAAATTATTTTCTCTTTTTGAAAGAATGGTATCCTTGAAGCCTTCCTGTGCTAGAAATAGTGGGAAAGTTCTGGTTACCACGCATTTTCCCTTCTATTTTATTTTAAACTAGTGGTGGTTGCCACCCACTTTCATGGGTCATGATCCACAGTTTAAAAACACCGCGCTGTCGGACCCACCAGAGTTCCTGGCTCGAAAAACATCAAGGAACCCTGCTGAGGTGTTTGGCATATTAAGAAAAGAGTTTGCAGGTAAAGGCATCAGAAACATTTTTTTTTTTAATTTTTAAAAAATTTTTGGCTGTGTTGGGTCTTCGTTGCTGCGCGTGGGCTTTCTCTAGCCGTGGCGAGCGGGGGCTACTCTTCCTTGCGGCGTGCAAGCTTCTCATTGTGGTGGCCTCTCTTGTTGTGGAGCACGGGCTCTAGCCGCGCAGGCTTCTGTAGTTCAGGCACACGGGCTCGGTAGTTGTGGCTCACAGGCTCTAGAGCGCAGGCTCAGTAGTTGTGGCGCACGGGCTTGGTTGCTCTGGGGCATGTGGGATCTTCCCAGACCAGGGCTGGAACGTGTGCCCCCTGCATCGGCAAGTGGATTCTTAACCACTGCACCACCAGGGAAGTCCCAAGGCTTGAATACATTTAAAGCACACAATTATTATTGATAAAAAGGCTCCCTGAACAGAAGGAAAACGACAGGATGACAGAGGGCGTGAAGGAAGGTACCCTGTGTGTTTCTGAGTGTACTGCACACAGTTCAAGGCTTCTCAATCAAAGAGGAATAAAGTGTGGAAATAATTCAAGTCAGAGCTTCACATAAGATGAGTCACTGGGAAAGTGAGATGTATCTGGAAAGGCAACAGGGACTGGGAATTTTAAATTGAATACATATGCTTACGAGATGAGTTAGAAGTGTCCTTAACCAGAGGAGGGTCAATAAAGCACAGGATATTACAGCTGTAAAGGACTGTATGTGGACGAGCCCAAGTTGCTCATTTCTTCAAGTGAGGTCCAAGGTCCAAAGGGATCCTCTCAAGGTCATGGTTAATGTTGAGGCCAAAATGCTGACAGTCACACCCCGTCCCCCACAAGCTCCTTCTTCCAACAGCACAAGGCCTCTTAGCTGTTCTGCATTTTTTCCTGGTCCAGGACATGAGAAACCCAATGTGAAATGAAGTAATAAAAGATTTAAGATGGGAAACAAGGAGTTTCCTGGACCTGAACACTTCAATTACTCTCACTATCCAAGTAACTCACTAGAAACCCATCTGCCCAAGTAGGTGGGCTGTGTGTCCTCCAATATATGAGATACACTGGAAGGATACAAGCCCAGTCCAAAGGACACTGTCACGTGGCCATGACGGTGGGACAAGAAATGAACAGCCCAGTCTGTAGAGATTTGGGGAACCCCCCCCCCATCCTGGCTGTCCTCTGGGAGATGGGCTCCACCTTAGAGGATGCTGTTGGGAGCCTGGGGCCGTCAGCTGCCGTGGCTGACCTCTCCCTCCCTGCACTGTCCTCCTAGGGCTGATGCACTTGAACGGTCTTCTCTCAGCCTGGAAAGATGGACTTTCTGGAGACACAGAGAAATGCCATTGCTCTCAAAGCCTGAGAACACTTTCCCCGTAAACACCATGTTTACAGTTAACACAATTCTGTGCCCTGAACCTACATTTTAAATCAGGATAAAATCTTATCCAGCAGGGATAATAGAAAGTGGCTTTGGAGTGATGATCTAGCCAACTCTTAGAGTGTCTTCTTGTGTTATCTACAATTTTGATTTTTTTTTTGGAGTTATGCCATTTTAAGAAAACCTGAGCTTGTTTATACAGTTGCCCCTTCTCCTCCAGAGGGCCCTTTTGAGAATGAAAAGATTGCATGTTTCGAATCTGACTGAACTAACTTCATCTTCTATGAATTTTCAGGAACGCTTCTATTGCATAAAATGAGGTAGATTCATGCACAGAGCTGATGACCGACTGGACAGTCTACATATGGAAGAAAAAATAAGAATAAAAAAGCACTGGCAAGTTCTTTCAGTGATCTTCGGACATTGCTATGTCTCAGGGACTTTTACTAGATAAAACATTAGTCCAATGCCCTAAAAGTTGTTCAGCTTTGATTCTCTTGGAAAATTTCATCCGAAAGTGACAAGAGGCTCACATTTTGCTGAGAGAAAGGAGCGTCTCAGCTGGGATGGCTCTGACATTACAGGGATGAAGAAAGCCAGCAGGACAGGAGATGAGCCCAGCTGCAGCACTGAATTTTCATCTAGTAACATCTTATTCGAACAAAGACCTTAAGATTTCTGTGAAGTACATTTTGGTGAGGGACGGGAATCAGGAAGTGACAGCTTGTCTCAAATGAAGGGAAATAGAGGCTCGCTTATTTTTATTAAAAAAATGTCCTTTAAAAAACACAAAAACTTAAAGTTATTAATAACTCTAAGTACAATCCTTTTTAATCCAATTTTCCTAACTGGTGACTTTTGATTTGAGGGCATATAATAACTTAGTAAACTGGAAACCATTTTTGCTGATGG